TGATGAACTCAAGTCACAAACCACCAAATCAAGCAATTTCATTACATGTTAGCTTATGACTCAAGAAGTGCAAGTTCAATAAATGCAAAATGAGACTCTAACCTCCTCCATTTCTTGAAAGATCAAGGGAAGAAGTTGACCTTGGAGACTTAGATCATTTCATCACTAGCAAGTATGAAATGGTCTCAGTTCCATGTGTTCATTTAACGTCCGATTGAACACAACCAATTATTATCTTTCACCATTTTAGTCTCAAGTTTTAGTTACTTTAACTTACCAACCATTCCTTAATCCAATTAAGTCCAAATGGTGAATTATAGTCCTCTAATGGAAAGAAAACTCAAACTAAAGGTTGTTTTCGGCATGAAAGAGACATCATGTCATTGGTAATGAACCCCCAAAGGGAATAAACCATTAAGCACAAAACCTCAATTTCATGCTTTAAATAAGCAAATGGTTTGAACCACTTTATAAGCAAAAATAAAAACCAAGAAAAGAGGGAGGTTGCAGAGATGATTAAGTGCTGGAAATGAGTGATAAAAGCATAAACAAATGCTATCAACTCAAACAATAAGGTGTCTAGAGCCTAAAACACCAAGCTTGTGAGGACTATTGCACTACAACCATGCAAAACAAACCTCAACTGGCCCAAACAGCCCAAAACAGAGCTAAAGCAATCTAAAATAAAGGCAAAAACATGTCGGAATTAAGCTAAAACAAGCTAGAAAAATAAGCTAACACATGGCAACAACTAGGCTAGCAAACAAGACACAACGAGGGGAGGCTAACCCCTCCAATTTTGGACTTCAAAACATGATTTTTCTCATTGAAAATACTCTGAAATTCAGTGGTAAAAAGCCCCGAAAAAGATGGTTTTAAAATGGGAAACGAAGGTGCAAAGGCCCTAACAACAAGGAATAAAGAGGGATGAGCCACCCCCTAACCTCAAATGGCCAAAAGCACCAATTTCAGCCCATGAAAACAGAGTTTTCTAAAGCTCAAAAACAGCCCAAAACAATGGGAGAAAGATAGGAAAACAAGTAGTCAAAGCAAGCTAGTGAAACAAATATGCTACCTCTTGAAGAGAAGAGTGATTCTAGGCCACAATTCCAAGCAAAACCACTTTCTAGAGCTCAAACAAGATCTCTTGGAACCTCAGTTCAAGGGTCAAGGGATTTGGTTAAGGAAGTATAGGCAAGAGTGTAGGAAATGGAGGCAAAAGTATAGAAAATTTGTAAAGAGAGAGAGAATTGTAAAGAGAGAGGAAAAATTTTGAGTCTAATTTTTCTAACCTCAAAACATGAGAGAGAGAGAGAGAGAGAGAGAGAGAGAGAGAGAGAGAGAGGTCTCCTATTTATAGAAAACATGAAATCTATACAAGGAGATCCAGCCCTCCACGTGTGGACAGATGCAAGCATCTGTGCAAACAGCTGGCATAAAATATCTGCAAAAAACACTGGTGGCCGGTCGACCATCAGTGATGGCCGGCAAGGCAACATTGATGGCTGGCAAGGCACATCAATGGCCAGCAAACCAGAAGCTCTGGCTGGAAGCCTTCATAGATGGCCGGTTGGCCACCAAAGACTGCATGAGGGAAAGACCAAAGTATGGTCCAAAAATGAGACAAAATGGATGCAGGGTTTGAAAGGCTCAAAATCTGTAGCGTTCCGCTGATGACTTCGAGCACCTAGCGAGCAAACAGACTTGTCATCGGATGTACCTACAAGAACATCCAAGTCTTAAAGGGCCTGTCAAAAATGGAGTGTCTATAGTTGCCACTCTTTGACAGTTTTCAGAATCATGAAATGGCGTGAGTGAATGTCAAAACCCAGAGACGACCCATTTTGACAAGGCCGTAAGACTTGGACAAACAATCAAAATAGACAAAAATGGTTGCGCTCGTAGGCTGCCTACGTATCCCTTTGCAAGGAATCAAACCAGCGTAGTTCTGGGGCAAAATGCAAATGATATGCATGATGCAAGAACATAACTTATGATCATGCAATGAGATTGTGCAATGAAACATTTAAATGAAAATGCTATGTAAAGAAATGCTACAGTTAAACAAACTAGAACAAGGCACAACAATCCCAAACACGAAAAGAAAACCATGCACCACACGCAAGAATCACAAACCCAAACCACATTTCACACAGAAAGGATGTAAGAAAATTAAGCAAGCTTAACTAGGCATCACGCAGGAAAGATGAAGGGCGATGTAACTATCGGATACACCTGAGGCCTCAACCGAGATCCTAACGCATTGCACGCGAAAGGAGAAAAAGGATGGTGTGAACACTAGGCGCACCCAAATGTTTTTAACCGAAAGGGGTGGCGTGAACACCGGGACACACCCGAATGTTTTTAACCGATTTGCATTCCTAACGCGTTGCACGCGAGAGGAAGAAGGGGTGGTGTGAACACTGGGACGCCCCCGAATATTTTTAACTGATTTGCGTTCCTGATGCGTTACACGCGAGATGAAGAAGGGGTGGTGTGAACACCGGGACACACCCGAATGTTTTTAACCGATTTGCATTCCTAATGCGTTGTACGCAAGAGGAAGAAGGGGTGGTGTGAACATTGGGACGCACCTAAATGTTTTTAACTGATGGAGTAAAAGAATGCGATTCGAAGGGTATGAATAGTTTCATCTAAGACTCCTCTGAATAAACCGTACATACAATATCGTGCATCTCCAAAAAAGAAACCTAACAAGTGTAATTCAGGAATGCATGTTCTATGCAATATAAACAATTGAGATACAATGTTAGTGGCATGTTCTATGCGAAACAAAAGATAAGCATATTCTATGCGAAACAAAACATGAGCATGTTTTATGCAAAACAGATAACGGGAGCATATTCTATGCGAAATAAATCGCGTTAAGCATGTTCTATGCATAACAAAACGCAATAAGCATGTTCTATGCATAACAAAATGCATAAGCATGTTCTATGCATAATAGATAACGTGAGCATCTTCTATACATAATAGATAACGAGAGCATATTCAATGCGCACTTCAAAAGCGGATGCATATTCCATGCATGATTCAAGAACAAATGCACATTCTATGTAAGATTGAAGAGCGAATGCAAGATGCACATGCAATTCCCATGAGATGTACACCCTGTAACAACATATATGAAATGTGAATTTTATGCTAGTGCATGTTCCATGCAACAACGAGTAGGACATGCGCATTCCATGCAAGATACCAAAACATGATTCAACGAAAACAAACTCAGTAGTAACTTTTGATTTACCTCTCGGAAAAAGTTATAATATGTTTAAAGGATACACCTCGTTCGTGTTGACAAGTGACGAACATTGCGCACTGAAAACACAGTTTCGAGTTTCCATAGAGGCATTCTAAACCCAACAGTGGACAATCCCCCTAATTATTGAAAACCAAAGACACAAAACAGCATCAAAAACCCAAGGAAAGCTGCTGGCCACCTGCCGGCCATGAGGGAAGGCCACCGGCCAGGTGTCGGCCAACAATGGTCCTTGCCAGCCATCGATGGTAGATCGAGGGTAAATCAGCCAATTCGGCTCGGGTCTTTAAATATGAGTCACTAGGGGTCATTTCCTCACAACCCTTTGTGCGAAAATCATCTCCCTCTCTCTCTAGACATTCTTTCTTTCTGGATTTGCACTTTCTACGTGTTTTCCAACATCCCACACAAACTTGATTCGCTAAACCCTCTTTGTTTCCTTCACTTTGAACCAATTGAAACTTGATTTCGATGCTTCCTTCCTTAGTTCCACCATTCTAGGCTTATTCCCTCAAGTTTCTCTCGAGTTTTGTGCACTTTTCCTAACTTTGAATTTTCTCTATTTTCTCTTTCTTAGGGTTTGACTTTTTCTAAGTTTACCCCTTTTCTTCATTTTTCTTCACTTTTCACCCATCTTGCACTTATTTTTAAGATGGCGGATGAGATTCCTCATGATGGGGCTCCTCCCGAGATTCCTCCAGTAGTAGAGGAGCCGAGAGTTGACCTTGGGGCTGACTTAGAGGTGGAGTTCGAGCCCGAGGTTGAGGTAGAGCCGCTACCACGGAGGGAACGGCCTTTTGATCCGGCGAGGTATCACCCTTAGACACACATGTTGCCCACTGTCGGAGACATGAGGCGCTCCACTGAGTTTGCCCGTGGTGTACCAGAGGACCTCCTGCTGCAGGAGCCGGAGTCTCACTTGTCGACCATTGTCGTTGAGGTATGAACTCTGTTGCCTTGCAATTCTGCCTTCCGTTATTTGCATTTCTTGCATTGCCTTGTATCTGATCACCTGACTACATTTCATACATCATGCATTATCCTATTTCTAACGCATTTCATGCACTACTTTGTATTTGACTATACTTTCATCACTGTTCACACTATAAGAAATAACACTTTTGCCGACCAAAAAATTGGTCGCTAAAAGCCCATTTTTAGTCGGCAAAAGTTATCCGCGACCAATTTTTTTGGTCGCTACTTTGGTCGCCAATTGAGGGTCGGCAAAAGTAATTCGCGACCAAAATTTTTGATGCTCGAGAAAAGTTGGATTTGCCGACTAAATTTTTAGTCACTAAATATATCATTACTATGACTAATCCACTTTGTCGCTAAAACACTTTGGTCGCGAAAATTGATATTTTCCCGACCAAATATCTTAGTCGCCAATTGTCACATTCCACGACCAAACAGATCAGTTGCCAAAAGTCGAGGAATCGCCGACCAACAATTTAGTCGCCAAAGGTAAGGAATTGCCGACCAATGATTTTAGTCGCAAAATTGTAGAATTTGCTGACCAATTTTTTAGTCACCAAATCTCTTTCTTCTTTTTTTCTTTTTTTTTTTTTGAGAACAATCAATTTTTGTTTATAAACATTCAATTCAATATCAAACAAAATTCATTCAACCCAACCACAATTAAGGAACAATAACATTTAAAAAAGAAAAAGCTTAAGAACGATAATTAACAAATTTCCTTTCTTGTAACTTCACTAAATCATCAAACAATAATTGAGTTCCATTTAAAATAAAGATGAAAATATGTAACCGTAGTGCAGCACAGGGCATATTCAAGTCAAATTGAATTTAGTAAGCTCTTCTTCTCAAAAGCTATATCCTCTTTGAAGTCCAACATGACACACAACTTGAAGCCTTTCACCTTCTTTAATGATTTAACATATCAACTTGCTTGGCAGCTGATCCAAACTAACATATCAACTTTATGGATAATTGACCCTCCACCCTTGCATGGCCGAATGAAATAGCCACTTGGAAGCATTTCAGCTCTCACAAACTGAGTAGTAACAGCTGCATTTGGGCTAGCACCAGAACTTGACAGAGATCTCTCATAGACCTTAAAAGATTGATGACAAAAAAGATCAAAGATCAAATTTTTGCATCACCAACTGTGCAAACTCGATTCATTTGGTAATATTAATGCCCACAACTAATACATTCAATCAAATGCTTTAAATAGTAAAAAAAACATTTTTTTAGCAATATTGTTCTAATGATGCAAATGCCATTTTGGCACATCTAGATCATTGCTTAACATTGCATATATAACAGTTAAACAAAAATAAATTATGAATGGTGGCATCAATTCCTTTGTGACATTTGGGCTACCATTAAATATGCAAGCTTAACAAATAACAGAAAAGATTTATGATAAAATTATATATTTATAGTAATAACAATAGCTGATATTGACATTATTTTTATGTATATATGAGTAGATCGTTTCTATATAAATTGTTTTAGAGCAACTCCAACACTCCCGATTTTTACCTCAAAGTGGGTCTAAAAGATATTTTTCTATTTTATGGAGTCTCTTTTGAAGCTAGTTTTCCCAAAATATTCTATGTTTTTTTCTATTCTATTTAAATATTCTTTTTTTGCCTTTTTAAATTTTAAGTGTGCAAATCCTTTTATTCATCATTCAACTCAATGTAGCAGATCATTTTCCTATATCCAAAACCCACAAACCATTCGCAATTTAAACTATGAGCATTTAAACGACGTTAGTAAAATTCACTACAGTTATTTCAACTGATATTCCAAAAACAATCTGAAACATTGTGCAGTCTACTGCCACCTCTAAAAATGCACTATATAAATTGGGTTTGCAACAACAAATATATGAAAGAACACATATCATAAAAAATGGAAATAGAAAAAAGATAAAAGAGCTGTTAAAAAATCATGAGTTATTTGTTCCCTTCATCATTTGGAGTTGTTTGGTGAAGAGACCAATAAGAGCAGTAGAATAAAAACTATTTTTGGGAGTTCAACATTATTTACCATTAGAAGTTACTCAAATCAAATCCCAACTCAAATCCCAAACAGGTTAGAACCATGTACTTACTTGTGCATCAGAAAGTGCACGACCAATAATGTCATTTCAAGTAATTGAGGTGGTAGGAATTGGAATAGATTTCTCTTTGAAAGCATATGAAGCAACAAGATCAAGATTTGATAATTGTAGACTTGATTCTATAATCTTCACAATACATAAAATTGTACTATCAATCTGTATTTGTATAGCTTTCATAAATAAAATTTAGGACAAAAGAACGAAAAAGATTGATAAATATTGTCAGAGACATAGATTGGTTACATCGATTTGACAGCAAAAGTTTACATCTGGCTCATAATATTTTGGAGTCTAAGAAACATACCAATGAATCAGTGATAAAGTCTGTCTCTTCCACAAAATGCTAACACTTTCCATCTTCATTGCATACTCTTTCACACCATCAACTTGTTCATTTACTAAGCAAAAAGCAATTGCTCTGCCATTGCAATAGGTGTTTCAAGCTTTAGCTTCATTCTTTCAATTCATGTACTTGTTGACCCCTCTAAAAAGCTATACAAAAAAATTTCAAATTCATAGAAACTACAGGTTCTCCAATGAGGATTAGTCATAGATAGTTCTTCAATCTCTTTCTGAACATGGTAGGAAACTGAAAGTTTTTCTTCAAGGGCAGATCGTGTATAGATACAGGATACAATGTCACATGTTCTGAATTAAGCAACTTCTAAGTATTTTCCTTGACGAAAGCAATAGCTTCCTCGAGTTGCATCAAATCATGTAAAAGAATTGAAGATTAGAATTACTTTATTAGCAAACCTAAATTAAGGGAAATTTGTCCATTCTTTATAGTCCCTCCTACAAGAAATCCCTTTGAATAAAATTAACAATCAAACTAGAGAATGCATAATTAAACCTCATTGGAATTCTGATAGAGATTAGATTTAATCAACACAAACACAACTTTTTTTCTTCCACTGCTGAGTGTAAAGGAGAAAAAAAACCTACAAAGCATCACAAATGGAGCCAAAACTAATAAAATAAATAAATAAATAAAGATTTTACATTAACTTAAATACTAAATGGACAATACATAATATATGATCTTATAACAAGAGAATACAGACATCAAGTTAACTACCCAAGCAACCAATCTTACTAATTTAATTTCCAATAAAACCCTAAACCCAAGCCGTAAAACTCGAAAAATTTTCACAATGACCAAATAAAGCTTCTCGATTTCTCAATCCAATCATTCCTTAAACCAATTCAGAAAATCGAACAAACAGTGAACCAATAAGAAAATCAAAACAATTTCCATACAAACATCTAAATACACATTGTACCTTGTCCTTGGTGTAACCAAATCTGCCGAAATCAAACTGATCGTCATTGTAATGTCTCGCATCATTCTCTGCGTCTTCGAGTGGAAGCTGAACCTAAGCGAGCATGAGGTAATTAGGCTCGTTCTCGGATACAGAAGAAGAATCCAGAAATCAAAAATCTATTGGATATGGAGATACAAAGCAGACAGAGAAACAAAGAAGCAGATGGGAAGTAAGATACAGAGCAAAGATGGGACAAACCTACAAAGCCAGAATGAAGCGGCGATGGTCTATCACAGCAATGTCAAACGGCGAAAAACCCCGACGATCGACAAATGTCTGTGCAAGCATTTGAGAGGGAGAGAACTACAAATCGTGAGAGAGAACGGCTGTGCAAGGGTGAAAATCGTGGAGAGAATTTACCTACGAACAAAAAAATAAAAAGATGGGCGACTTTGGGAGGGAGGTAAGAAACTGAGGTCTTATTGGTTTTGGTTGATATTCTTTTAAAAAATGTATTTTTGAATTTTTGAAAAGTATTTATTTCTTTTGTAAATTTATATAAATTGATAAGTATAGTACTTTTGATTGAGAGAGAGAACACAAAGAGAGGGAGAGGCAGACCAACATAGAGAGACGCAGAGAGCGAGCTAGAGACAGAGGGGAGATTAGGACTTTTTTTTTAAAAAAAAATTCTGTTTTCCTAGTACAAAACAACGTCGTTTTATAATCGGCGACCACATTTTTTTGTCGCAAAAAAATTTCAATTCTCACCTCCACATTTCAAATTTCCCTCCCAAACTTTTGGCGACCAAAAGACCAGATTAGTTGCAGAAAAGGTACCTTTACCGACAAAATTTTTTAGTCACCAAATCTCAATCGACGGCGCCTAATTCTTTTTAGTCGCTAAAAGTACTAATTTGGCGACTAATTTTTTTTTGATTGCTGAAAATAAGTTTTTGGCAACCAAATTTTTGGTCGCCAAAGGAAAAAAATAATTTTTTATTTTTCATTAGGCGACTAAATTGTTTTAGTAGCCAAAACTCAATATATGGTAACTAAAATATTTTTGGTCGGGGAAAATAAGTTTTTGGCGACTAAAATTTTGGTCACCAATTCTATAACCAATTTATTTTTGATCTTCTGCGACCAATTTATTTTTTGGTCACCAAAATCTGACCTTCCGCGACCAAATTTGTAGTTGGTCGCCAAAAGCATACCACTTTCTGCGACCAACCCATATTTGGTCGCCAAAAATAATGATCATTCGCGACTAATTAATATTTGGTCACCAAAAGGTATTTTTTAGCTACCAACTTTTATATTGGTCGCGGAAAGTGGTCGCCAAAAGTGTAGATTTTTGTAGTACCATTGTTCACTGGTATCTGACTACATTTCATGCACCCCTTTATATCTTATTCATCTATTCTATGCCACAGGGCGAGTCTCATACCTTCAGAGGCAATGGTGCTACGACTGGTTGAGACTGGCATGACGAGCTCCCAGCTGGAGTTCGTGACATCATTGACGAGACGGGCTTCGGTCTCTTCAGCTCTAGCTTGACTCGGGTCACCGCGAGACGTCCCCTCTTAGAAGCACTCGTGGAGATGTGGTGAGATACCACCAACTCCTTTCATTTTTCCTCCACAGAGGAGATGACATTGACTCCTTACGACTTTTACATGATCATCGGCTTAGACGTAAGGGGTGATCTGATTCCTCTCGACCCAAACATGGAAAAGTGGGAGGCGGTTTGGTTCGAGCTGCTCGGCGCACATCCTCCTATAAACCGAACGGGGATGGTTTGATACACATGGTTCACGGAGCGATTCAGAGGGAGCGAGTCTGAGACAGTAGAAAAGACAAAACAGTACACTAGGGGTTTCTTGATGTTCGTCTTCGGTACCACCTAGTTTTCGAAAAGGTGGAACACCGTAGGCTTGTATTTGCTGAGTGCCCTGGTGACCCTTCCTTGAGTTCATTTCTACGATTGGGGTGGAACGGGTCTCACCACGATGTATGGATATATGAGCTCTGTTTCTCACCTACGAGGGAACTTGATCGGAAGCTATTGGCTAGCCTGGTTGGTACACATCTCAATTCCCTCATCACACGTCACATTTCCTGCTTTACATTTTTTTCAACACATGTGCTTTCTACCTTGCACTTTCTATATCTATTCATATTGTATGCTTTCTGCTTTGCATTTTCTGCATTTGTGCAAAAATTCTACTGATCACACCACTGCATTTTCCCTGCAGCTATGGGTATACGTATACTTTTTGACTCTTGCCCCGGAGCCTATAGAGGAGCTTCCATTGACAGTCCCCTACTCGCAGGTATATGACGGTCAGCTTCGCCGTAGGACCCGCGAGCCTTTCACGTTTTTCCGTCGATACTTCGACACGATAGCTGCCCATGACGTAACCCAAAACACAGTCATTTTACTTTAACACTGTTCTGGTTTACATTTGACAATTGATAGCAACTAACGATTTGTACAACTTCCATTTGTAGATGACGTGGCAGCCATGGGCTATGCTGCCAACAGGGATCTAGGGCTAGTTTGGTGGAGCTTGGGCCATTTCTCGCTACCACATTCTGCTCAAGGACCCAGTTTGCTGGGCTTGGTTCTTGGGTGAGCGCTTCGTACGCCAGACTATGGCCCTGTCTGACCCGATCGTCTCGATGGCTCCACTAGAGTCTATGCGGTCCACAGAGAGCCTATTTGAGGAAGTGGTCATCTAGTTCATGGTAGGCCTAGATGTCGACTTCTTTCGAGCGGAGGGCAACTATACAGATTTTATCCAGACACACTTGATGCCGTCCTTGACTAGTATTCGCGGAGCTGGGAAGGTGAGAGTTCCTACCATGAGAGCGAGGCCCAGAGCGACCCGGACGAGCAGGGCCCGTGGCAGAGGGGCTTCCCGAGCAAGACAGAGGGCTGATTGGCTAGAGCTTTCCACCATGCTGACTTGTTGGCAGCACACCGAGGAGACTTACCATGTTTCGATTGAGCCCGCAGCGGCTGGTCATGAGCTTGTCGGGATCCGAGGCCAGGCTCCGGTATGAACTACACCTTAGCACTTGCACTTCATATTTCATTTCAAATATATTCCTCTACAGATACTAATTATTCAAATTCATTTGCAGGCATCGATCGAGTACACAGGAGGCTCCCTCGAGCTGATAGCCTCATTGATGGGGGATGGTACAAAAGAGAGAGGCACTGCTCAGCCTCTACGGTATCGCCGCAAGTTCTTCAACTTGCACTTCAGGCATCGAATTTCCACTAACACACTGACACTGACATTTCAACTGAAAACTTCCCAAATTGCACTGATACACTGCATCTGACATATTGTACTTGCACACTATATTCACACACTGCATTCATACATTGTATTCATACGCTATACCCATACACTATATCTGACTTCCGCACATACTCATTCTACATACTACACTTGCATCTGATACACATATTGTAACTGATATGTGACAACTGTCTTTTCAGATTCCACCCATACCGATGGCACCAGCGGTAGCTGCAGCGCTCACACCAGTAGTGTCTCTTCTAGCAGAAAGGAGAAGAGAGAGATAGGCTTTAGTGCGCAGCCGAGGCAGAGCTAGAGGCACCCGAGATGAGAGCGGCCCTTCAGAGCCCATTCTGCGTGATGATGATGCTGAGACGAGCAACTCTAAGGAGACAGCAAGTCAGTATTCAGATTCATCTCAGAGTGGAGGTGATGACGCCAGCTCGAGTTCCGAGAGTGCAGGAGATGCTGAGTCAGGCTCCGAGGCAGAGAGCAAAGATGGCACCGGCTCGGACTCTAGTTCAGAGGGAGATGCAGATAGCAGCGCTAACGGAGATAGTGCCTCAAAGCCTCCCCTTCGTGGAAGAGGACGAAGAGGGCTTCTCGAGCATGAGGTGACCAACACTGATTTTTCGATTTTGCTTAGTTTCTTTTTCGCTTATAGCTTTAGCACATTGTACAGCTTTAGACAGGTTTTATTTGCTTTAAAAAGTAGCTTTACACAGGTTTTATTTGCTTTAAAAAACACTTGTACTGCACTTTTGTGGAAAAGTAACCATGATCGGAATGAAAGCCAGGTTTTATGAAAAAGTGTTATATTTTGCATCATGAGCACTGCATCACATGGAATGAACATGGAAACGAAATGACCAAGAACACTCTTGATTGCAATAAACTTAATCGGGCAATGAACCGACCAACAACTGACATGAAAAAGCCAAAGAAACTCGATAAACAACACAATTCAATAAGCAAAAACAACACAAATAGAACTTGATAAGCAAAACAAGACGAATACAACTCGAGAAACATGCTAAAGCCCAAAGAGACTCAAAACAAGACTCTCAAACACACAAAGAGCAGAATAAAACACATGCTGTCAACACTTTCTAGAACAAAGAAAGGCAGCAGGTTAGAGTGAGAGACTGCCGGCCATGTGTCGGCCATGTAAGTTGGCCTGCCAGCCAACAATGCCCTTTGCCGACCATTAATGAGCCTTGCCGGCCATCGATGTTCAGGACATCCAGATTGTTGACACATGGCTTCCACTCACTGCCTTATCTTCTACAAAAGGTTAGACCTCGTAGTTTCTTCATTTTAGCTTTAAATTCTTCACAAATGGAGCCATTTTTTGCCGAAAAACTTTCGAATTGGATTGTAACTCTAGATGGCTCGAAGAAGGTGAATTTTTGGGGTTTCGACATAAATGCACTATTCCTACTGAGTCATTCTCCGCTTTGTTTTTCATTCCTTCATGTCACGGCTCGGGGTTTCGGCATAAATGCACTATTCCCGCTGAGTCATTCTCCGCTTTGTTTTTCATTCTTCATGCCGCGGCTAGATGTGGGAACCAGATTACACATGTTTTTAGCTTTGGGGGGCAAGAGATATGCCTGACAATCAAAGAATTTTGGGCACTAATGGAGTCCCGACGCGATGAGAAAATCTTGTCTCAACCTCGTTTTGGCCACATCCAAGCTCTATGACGAATGTGCGGGCTCACTTTACATGAGGCTTGATCCTTGGTTCACAATGGAGAGATGGATATTCCTAGCCTGATTCATCAATTTTCTGAGGCCGACGACCGAGGCGATCTTCTTTGGCGGGGTTTTCGGCAACACACCCTTTACTTGTGCATGCTAGCCCATTTCCTTCTTGCCCCTAGTTTCGGAGGGTCTAGCACTCGGCTAATTGAGGTGGCGCAAGGCCTGAAAGAGGGCAAGAGTTGCATTAGCTTGACATTGGCCGAGATTTTGATGGGCTAAAATGCCTTCCTTCGGCGAGAGACAAACAAATTCACAGGGAGTCCACTACTTCTTCAGGTAATGTTTCCCACCCTTCTCATGTGTGTTTCTCACATCGCTCGACACTCATGCTCTGTTTTTCTCTCCCTTTCTCACCTTTTCTC